ATATTTTTATTCCTGAATTAGAATCAGTTTTGAGAACCATTGATCAGCTCGCCTCACACTGGGGCTCGACCCCACAACCCAGAGCACGTGGCTTGATCGGGATCGAATGACCTGGTTCCTAGGTCGGGTGGGCCCGGCACAGGTACGAACCCTCAGCGCTGCCGGCGGGAACCTCTGGAAGGCTTACAAAAGCCCCTGAGCCCAGGGCCTGTGCAGACTCCGGCTGGAGAGAACGCCGGCCGGGAAAGCCTGCGCCATTGGCGACCACGTGGTCTCAGGCCGGATCCGGACTGTACTCCCCTTCTCCGCTTCCGCACCACGCGGCCCTGCCGCTCCCAGGGGGCCCCTCCCCCGCCTTGGGCGCACGCCAGCAATGGCTGCCAGGGAACCCGGGTGAACCTGCCAGCCCGGCAGCCGGGAGACACAGGGCGGCTAGAAGGCGCTCCACTTTCACTTCCGCGCCCGCAGGGCCGCTCCCTTCCCCTTCCTGCGCGCGGGCGGGACACCGCCTGCCCCCCCGGACGGCCGCCCCGGGCCCGCTCCTCCGCCCGCGCCCGCTCCCCCGCCCAGAGCCCGGCGGGAGGCTCGCCAGGCGGCCCGCGGGGGCGCACGCGGCTCCTCGCTTCTCGGAGGAGCTCCCGAAGGCTCGAGACCCCGAGGCCTTACCTGGCGTGCGCGTCCGGCTGGCACAGACCGACCAGAGCTGGTGTCCCCGCGTTCAATGAGACCGGGCTCCGCCGCCACCCTGCCTCTTATACCCTCCCTCAGAACCTTCCAGAAGGGGCCCGCCCTGCCCGCTGCCCATCAAGGCTTCTCGACCAATGGGCGCGCGACCGCTCCTACGAGCCCCAATGAGCGCGCTGGCTCCGCCCCGGGCCTCGCCCCTTCGCCCCGCCTCGCGATGACGCACTGGCCGCAGCGTTCTGGAACTTTCATTCTCGCCCCCGCGCTCGGAACGGCCCCGGGGAGCGGGCGGGGGGATAGAGTGGGGGGGCCGAAGCCCGCGCGCGGGATTTCGCGTCACCCGGGAAGGGCGTCCGCCTCTGCGCATGCGCCCGGGAGCGCGGGCGGGCGGGGGGGGCGGGCGCATCTGGCGCCGACCAATGGCGGCCGCGCTGGCCGCGCCCTGCAGCGGCCCCGGGAGGAGCGCGGGACGCGGAGGCGCCGGGAGGAGACGGAAGTGGGGCCAGGACAAAATGGCCGCGGCTGTCCCCTCCCCCACAGCCTGCCCCTCCCCCACGGCCTGCCCTCCCCCAGGGCCCCCTCAGGTGCGCGAACCCCCAGACCTCCCAGGGTCCTCGCACCCCGCTTCGCCACGGCCTGCCTTCGGGCTGGGGCTGGCCGCAAGGCGCGGACGCCGGGGCGCCGCTCGGTGACTTCTCGGGCACCCAGGCCTGCGGTTTGGGGCGCCGCCTGCGCGGGGGGCCGGCTAGCCAGGCGGCCCGCGCCCTCGCTTCCCGGCGGCAGCCCGAGGCCGAGCCCCACCGCAGGGTTTGAGGGGCCTCGCGGGTCGCGCCCGCCCAGCCCGGACCCCCGAGACCCCCTCCCCCCGCCCCGGGAACGTTCGCGGCCGGGCCAGCCCCTCCCCCCGCGCCGGCCCCCGCTTCGGGGTGGAAACGTGCCGGAAGGGGGGGCTCCGCGGGCGCGGGGCCTGGCTCTTAAGCGGACACCGAGGGCGCGGCCTGCGCGGGGGCGGGAGCGGCCCGGGGTCCCCTGTTTGCTTCCCGCCGAACGCTGGCGGCGCCCTCCGCTCTAGAGGTCAAACGTGCACCTTGTTGGACAAGATGATGCTCCGTTTGCTTCCTCACTCAAACAGCTTCTCAGAGCTCCCCGGGGTTCACTGTGCTGGGGGGGAGCGCCCCGGGGGTTCACTGTGCGGGGGTGGGGGGGGAGGAGCGCCCTGGGGTTCACTGTGCGGGGGGAGCGCCCGGGGTTCACTGTGCGGGGGAGGGGGGAGCGCCCGTGGTTCACTGTGCGGGGTGAGGGGGGAGCGCCCCGGGGTTCACTGTGCAGGGGGAGGGGGAGCGCCCGGGGTTCACTGTGCTGGGGGGGGGAGCGCCCCGGGGGTTCACTGTGCAGGGGGAGGAAGGAGCGCCCTGGGGTTCACTGTGCTGGGGGAGGGGGGAGCGCCCGGGTTCACTGTGCGGGGTGGGGGGGAGCTCCCTGGGGTTCACTGTGCTGGGGGAGGGGGGAGCGCCCCGGGGTTCACTGTGCGGGGGGAGGGGGGAGCGCCCGGGTTCACTGTGCGGGGGGGAGGCGGAGGAGAGCGCCCAGCGTTCACTTTTTGGTTAGTCCTCTGATAGCTACAGGGGTTCACTGTGCTGGGGGGGAGGGGGGGGAAGAGCTCCCCGGGGTGTCTCCAGCAGGACCTGGCACCTTGCCTTGTGAGAGAAAGGTTGTTGGCATGTTTGTGACTGAAATCAATAAAGAACATATATTCGGTCTGAGTTCTGTTCTCCAGTTGGCAGACAGCTAATAAACAAATTCCCAGTGTAGGTTGTATGAGCTTCAGTCTCCTACAGTATCACCTTTAGTTATTTATTTTTTAATTGCAGATACAGATCCATCTGTAATAAATATTTGTTTTTGTGATCACAATCTCGATTACAAGGCAATTTAGAAGTTAAGATTGAAGTATAAACGGCTTAACAGAAATGAGGCAAAATTAGTGTGTTTTTGCAACAGTGATTCTGAAATTGTTTTTATACAGTCTAATAACAAAGGCACCAGCTTCATTATTTTCAGTTTTAAGTTCAGTTTATATATTTTATTGAAATGGTTATTCTCTAAACATTCACATCATTCTGTCCGTATCTATCTTCTTCCGGGCATTTTTTCTTCTAACGTTTAGTGATTGTATCCTTTGTTTCACATTCAAGCATCAAGTTTATCTGACTTGGAAAATTAATGGAATGTGATTTGAAAACAGTAACAGTTCAAACTTTATCTTAAGCCTGGAACCTGTTATATCTGAACTCAAAGACTTGACTCAAAGAGGAAGTGCACTACCATTACTAAGATCTCATCACCTTCTCTCAGAATCTCCAAGCCCTAGAATTTCTCTTGATTTTAGGTAATTATCAGTTTTGTGACTTCTTTTGTAGATTTCCAGTGTGAGTTGATTTCCAAAAGAATCTGGATTATTTAACTGGTATTTAGTCCTCTGATAGCTACAGGTTTAAATAACCTAAACGTCCTTTTCAAGCAAAGGGGCCTCAGTCCTACTTCCCAAGGCATGGCCCTGGTGTTAGCAGAATTGCTTGTTTGGCTCAGGTTCTTTGGGAAAGAGAATTCCCAATATTGCCCAGCAGAAATGAAAAGTTGCTGGATACCACTACAAGAGGAATGAAAAAGGAAAATGGGGGACTTTTTATCTTACAATGAGGTGGTATTAGTACAAGAAACATTCCAAATTTGCTAGCCCTTTTATTTTTTTATTTTTTAAAATATACTTTATTGATTTTTTACAGAGAGGAAGAGAGAGGGATAGTTGGAAACATCGATGAGAGAGAAACATAGATCAGTTGCCTCTTGCACCTCCCTATTGGGGATGTGCCCGCAACCAAGATACATGCCCTTGACCGGAATCGAACCTGGGACCTTTCAGTTCGTAGGCTGATGCTCTATCCACTGAGCCAAACTGGTTTCGGCAATAGCCCTTTTAAATTAAACTAACATCAGCCATTCTTTATACTACTTCCTCAATGTCTCTTACTTCTCAATTTATTAGGAGTAAGAAACTCAGATGAAAACTTGCACCCAAAGTAAACCCCTATTTCTTTCTCTCTTTTTTTCTTTTTGGTTAATGTTCACATGAGAATATTTTTCAGTTGATTTTTAGAGAGAGTAGGAGGGCAGAAGGGAAGAGAGAGAGAAATATCAATGTGTCACATTGGTTGCCATGCCTGGGCTGGTGATTGAAACTGCAGCCCAGGCACATGCCCTTGGCCAGGAATGAAACTGTTACCCTTTGGTGTGTAGGCCAATGCTCTCACCACCAAGAAACCCCTATTTTTTTTAATTTACTTATTTTTTTAATTCTTACCAGAGGATATTTTTCCATTGATGTTTAGAGAGTGGAAGGAAGGGGTAGAGGCAGAGAGAAGGAAGCATTGATGTGAAAGAGACCCCAATTAGTTGCCTCCTGCACACACTCCAGCTGGGGCTGCGGATGGAGCCTGTAAGGGAGGTACATGCCCTTGACTAATCAAATCTAAGACCCTTCAGTCTTTGGGTCAACGCTCTAACTGACCCAAACCGGTTAGGGCCTAAGGATATTCTTTAGAGTGAAAGGGAAGGAGGAGGGGGAGAGAGAAAAACATGGATGTGAGAGACAAATTGATTGGTTTCGTCCTGCATGCGCTCCAACCAGGGTTGGGGTTTGAACTTGCAACCGAGGTATGTACCTTTGACCAGGAACTGAACCGTCAACCCTAGATCCATGGGCTGATGCTCTAACCATTGAGCTACTGGCCAAGGCCAAACCCCTATTTCCTTTTTTTTTTTTTTTTTTTGAATATATTTTTATTGATTCCAGGGAGGAAGGGAGATAGATAGAAACATCAAGATGAGAATCATTGATCTGCTGCCACACTGGGGATCAGGCCCACAATCCGGGCATGTGCCCTGACAGGGAATCGAACCATGACCTCCTGGTTCATGGGTCGACACTCAACAACTGAGCCCCGCTGACCCCCTATTTCTTCAAAGGGCTTTAGAAGGTGTGCATTCGCACTGTGTGAGGACACTGTTGTAAGAATTAAACGTAGAAAATAAAAAACCAGAGAAGTGGGGCCAATTCCAGAGCAGCCTTTCCCTGTCAGTACCTGGTTAGAAGCAATGCTCCCATCCTCAGCACTGCCTTTCCTTTCTTAGCCTCTGCTGCCCTCTCAATAGGAAATCTTTTGCTTTGCCAGTGACCTGTTGACATTCGCACTATTAAAAGGGCAAGTTATTGTGTTGGAGGCTGCCGTTTGGTTTTGTTGTTTGTTTTTAAAATCCAGACCTTCTCCCGTGGATCAGCTCTTCTGAGAGCTGTCCTGGTGAATCATTCCTGCCCATCTTTCCAAGATGCCCACAGGTATCAACAGGCATTCACCCCACTATAGATCCCTCCCATCTCTTCTGCAAATTGACTCCATTTCCTTAGTGGCTGAGCTGGTAAAACACTGGACTTCGCTCTGTCCCAACTTCTCAGGCAGGAATGACTTTGGCATACCTGCAGTGCAGTAGGAAATGCTGGCAATCCCTGATCTTTCTGATAACAGAAAGCCTGGGATTGTCAGAAGTCCCAGGTTCACACCCTTTTCTTAAGATGAAACAGAGAAACTCCAAGTTTGGTGCAATTCTAAACTTCCTTATGCCATTCTGTGGCATTAAAAAAATTGACCTAATCTCCCTCTAACCCAGTCAGTCTTGAAATTCTGGTTTTGTGTGTTCTCAGAAAGACTATACTGTACACCAGATGGACTTTCAGCATCTCTCAAAGATCTCTCTCCCGCTGTAAGACTTCGTCTTAAGGGCCTTGTTAGTGACACATAGTGAATGCTTCCTTGTTCCAGAGAGTCAGCAGGGAAGTAGTGGAGACCTCTGATTGGAGGGAAAACCCACAATCGTTCCAGCTTACATTTCTGGTATTTGTCAGTGACCCTCTGACCATCAAGACTAAAGGTTTTCATAATCCCTTGTCTCACATTTTGGACTCCTTTTTAGTGCTCTAATGGCCCAATAGAAGAAACTTAGTGCTGGATAGAGTGGGAGAAACTCAATGGTTCTCCATCTCCCATTATTTCAGTTCCTCTTGAAATTCATATCCAAACTTTATGTAAATGAGATCAAGACAGACTAGAAGAGACTTCCTTTTTTGGAGTTTCTCAGAAGCTACATACCAGTCCCTGGTGTGGAAAGGTGTGGAGTAAGGCTGTGGGTTCTGCTGGACTCTGGGTAATCACAGTAATTCAGTAGGTTTGCAGAAAGGCGTAGAACATTTGTGAACAACTCATTTCTTCTTGACAATCGCGAATTGAAGTATTGATACAAAACATCTCAGTGAGAAGTTCACGTGGGTTCCCTCCCCTTCCTCCCCTTCCTCTCCCCAGGTCTGGTCCACAGATGACCAGACTAGACTCGCTCCCCCCACTCCTGTCCAAAGCCCCGGCGGACACGCCAGCTGACATCCCTTCCCTTGCTTGGCGTCCTGGAAGGAGAAGGCGCATTAGAACCGGCTCCACGCCCTGCTCCTGCTCCAGGAGTGACCTCGCCTAGGAATCGCATCGGGGTTGTGAGGCTGGTGGCTGAACTGCAGTGACTAGAGAAGTCCTAAGCTGCTGACTCCCGGGCAGCCTGGGAGTCGGAGTCCAGGGCCGTTAGACAGTTTGGAGGGGCCGGCTCTGGCCGGGGAGCCGGCCGGCGGTGCTTTGGGCCTTGGCCAGGGGAGTGTGATGCCCTCTCTTTGGTTCAGGGCCTCTGGCCTCTGGCCCCCCCAGTCTGAACGTGCCGGTGGCCAGCCCTGGCCGGGGCGCTGCCTCCGGGGACAGTGTCCGCTGGCTGCGGCAGGCGCTGTTGGCTGTGGAGCGCGTGCAGGAAGAGCCGGAGCGGGAGCTCTGGGAGCCGGAAGAAGAGGAACTGGGCTTCACCAGGCGGGCTTTCGGGGCCTCGGCATCCTCTCTGAGGGGAAAGCACAGGGAGGTGAGTGTCTTACTGGAAAGACTGTGATCATTCCCGTGGCGGTCGCTCCCTTCCGAAGTTTCCCAATACGTCCCCTAGGCGGCACCACCGGAGGCAGCCACTTAGGGACCCGTACGGCCCCTCTGAGGCTCAGGGAGGGCATGGCTTAGGCAGATGCATGCTTTGCTAGTCAGAGCAGCTCTTACTCTGGGAGAATGTGCCCTGGCATTGAGAAGGTCCAAGGACCACAGGCCCTTGATTGGGGTTTGTCTGTGGAAACCCTTTGTGGCCTGTGGTCTGCCCGCGCTGAGCAGAGGGAATCAGAAGTAACATGGAGTTGATCGCTTGCATCTCTGAGGAGGAGAGACCGTTTCGCTATAAAGGCAAGGTAAGCCAGACCTGTCCCAGGCTGGCCCTCCGTGCCTGCCCTTTACAGAATAACCATTACACAGGTTCCCGGGGAGAGGAAACGGGCGTTTCTGTTGCTGGGCGCCTTGGACGGCCTGAGGAAGGAAGCTGGGGAGGAGGAGAGCTTGGAGGAGACTGACCGGATTTCATTCGGTCTCTCTTCTTCCTCGTGTCGCTTTTTGCCTTTCCTTCGGACAAGCAGCCACACCAAGAGGAGGATCAGCAGGACCCCGGCCACCATGCCCGTCACTGCTCCCGCCACCATGCCGATGCTCTGCACGTCTGTTTTCTCAGAAACGAAAGCAGAAGCGAAATGAAACATGAAGCAGGAGATGCGGGAACTATCATAGAAGACCCGAGCCCCGGACAGGATGAGCACTCCCAGAGCTGAGCCTTCCTGAGTTCCCGTGGACCCTGGCGTCTGACTGCCCGGCACGCTGTGGAAGGGTAGTAGAATGCGCCACCCCAAAACATGCCTCTTTAACTTTAAGATTCTTTTAAGCTGACTATTTCTGAGAAACTGCAGGCACAGGAAAAGCTCTAAAAACGGGAGTTACCCTCATGTACAGGAAGTTTACATGAATAAGGGAAATCTCCATTTGTTCCCCTCCCAGATATAACACATTTCTTTAGGGAGCTGATAAATCCACAGTAATTGTAAAGGAAGAGCTAATACAACTGCCGAATAGTCCTTGCAACTACTGGGCCAATTTTGGTGACAGCCATGTTCTCCTGGAAATAACTGTTACTCTTGATTAAACATGTTTCACCTGTTTACATGTTTGGACCACATGCAGAGGGAACCCGCCCCTCCAGATACCTACACTGCACAGTGACTCGCACCACGCAGCTCTCCTTCCCCGCCTCGTTGTCCGCCGTGCACCGGTAGAGTCCCGAGGAGGCCGCCGTGAGGTTCTGCAGCAGGACGCGGCCCGGGCTGCTGTGGTCTGCGCAGGCACAAAGGATGCGGTTCCCTCAGGCAGGCTGATGATTTTATTACATCGTCTATCTACGATTCTCTAGGGCAGTTTGGTGAGATTGAGGTGGAAGACAGAATAGACCCCACTTTGGGACGTGGGGAGAAATTTGCTAACATTCTTTTAAATGATAGCGAATCCTCAGAAGTTACAAAGGGCTGTGAACATTTAAGGGACACTGCCCGAGATAGAAATGGTGGATTGATTTGGTGCATTTTTTCTAATGTCTTTTACACTTTACGGTCCAGTTGAGAACAGAAAAGACAGGCCCAGTTTATGGATGAAAATGGAAGTTCAAAGAGATGCGGTGTATTTGAGGCCACATGGTGATTGCTGTCCAATTGAGAGTTCCTGGCAGTTCTGTCCTGTCGTCTCCACAGACTGGGAGAAGGGTGACTTACCGATCCTGGATCTGGGCGGCAGGCGCTCCTCCTGCCCCTCCTTCTCCCGGACGCGCTGCCAGTGATACGCGATGGGCTCCGTGCCCGAGGACGACTCACACTGCAGAGCCAGGTCACCGCCCTCCCGCGGCTCCCCTTCCAGCTCGCACTTGGGCTTCGATGGTCTCACTGCAAGAAAGAGAACCAAGTGCTGATTCCAAAATCCCCAAACAGCGATGCAGGAAGAACCGGACCCTGTTGAGTGTTCTCCCGCCATCCTTAGGGTTCACTTTGGAGTGGGACTCCAGAGCCGTTACCTAGCTCCCGGGCCGTGTGTTACATCACCTCCAGAAATACACCGCTCTTCCCCTGCACACTCACACCCACTCCAGCTGCCTCCAATGGTGGGATTTTCATTAGCGGCCTCCAAAGTCACGTCATTCTCAAAGAAGAAACACATTTAACTGGAAATTTTAGGAAAGCTGAGTATGGTTTTACTAACACTGAGAAGGATAGGAGTTCATTACTTTGGAAGATATTAAGTTGTACTTAGTAGCTTCTGCTGTTAAAAAAAAACACACCACAAATGGTACCTTTAAAAAAAGAAACGACAGCAGGGAGAATCCAAGATGGCTGCACAGGTAAACACCTAGCCGCAGCCGTACACAACAATTTCAATAAAATACAAATAAAATATAAAATGGACATTACCCAGAACTACAGGAAAGTCGACTGACTGGCAAGGAGAAAACCAGAAGGAAGCATGGAGGAGCTGTAAAAGCCTAAGGTATGGAGACACATGGCGCGCGGGGAGAGGACGGAGCCAGAGAGGAGGGGCAGCTGAGTGCCTGGCTGGCGTTCCCTAGCGGGAAGGAGATAAAAGCTCCGACTGTGCTGGGCCAAAGTTTCGACTGCTCTGAACCCCAGTTCTAGGCCAGACCCCGGGGACCCAGGCTCACACAGCGGGAGCTGGGCTGTAAGGCGGAACCCCGGGGAGCGGCGAAAGGAGGTCCCGGAGGCGTGCACATTGCGCTCAGAGAAGGGACGGTTGTGCCGCTGGATTGCCCTGGCAGGAAGGAGACTGGGGCTCCAGACTGCTCTGAGCACCACCTCCAATCCCATTTCCAACTGAACTGAACCCCAGTTCCAGGCTCATTGGGGGAGAGCCTAGAGTCTAGGCCCTAGACCACATGTGTCAAACACAAGGCCCGCGGGCCAAATCCGTCCCGCCAGGCCTTGCAATGTGGCCCGCACCGTGCTGTCATCACTGCACTCCGCTGCATTTCCATCACAATGACAGTTTATGACTGTTCAGTAAACCATTCGGCCCACGATTTAGGCTGGATTTTAGATTTTGGCCCCTTCTCTGATTGAGTTCAACACCCCTACCCTAGACTGTTTGGTAGCAGGCGAAAATTGAGGGCACCTTTCTCTCAGAGTTGCTTGCAGCAAGTACTGAAGGACCCTGAGACTCAGGAGCCTCGTAGGGCGGGGCTGACGGAAGCCAAGGCTGTAGGCTCCACCCTGAAACTCCGCCCCATCAGGGAAGCTGCAAAAATGCAACAACGAAATAGATCACAAACGAAAGAAATGGAGGACAAAAAGCGACTGGATATAGAGTTCAAATCTACGCTTATAAGGTTTTTCAAGAATTTCCTAGAAAAGGTCGATAAGACCTATGAGGATATGAAAAGGGATCAACTAGAATTAATAAGGAATCAATGAGAAATGATAAGGGATCAACAAGAAATAAAGAATACATTGTCTGAAATAAAAAATATTATACAGAGTCCTAAAAACAGAATGGAAGATCGCAAGAATCAAGTCAAAGATTTGGCACATATAGAGCCAGAAGACACTCCTCCGCAGAAGCAAGAAGAAAAGAGAATTCAGAAAATTGAAGATAATGTAATAAACCTCTGGGACAACTTCAAGCGAACCAACATCAGAATTATGGGAGTCCCAGAAGATGAGAGAGAGCAAGATATGGAAAACATTTACTGAAAGAAATAGTGACAGAAAACTTCCCCCACCTGGTGAAAGAATTAGTCCAGGAAGTGCATAGAACTCCAAACAAAAGGAATCCAAAGAGGACCACACCAAGACAAATCATAATTAAAATTCCAAGAGCAAAAGACAGAGAATATTAAAAGCAGCAAGAGCAAAGCAGGTAGTTACCTATAAAGGAGCACCTATATGATTGCCAGCTGATTTCTCAACAGAAACCATGCAGGCCAGACGGGAATGGCAAGAAATATTCAAGGTGATGAATAGTAAGAACCTACAGCCAAAGATAATCTACCCAGCAAAGCTATCACTCAGAATCGAAGGCCAGATAAAGAGCTTCACTAATAAAAAAAAGCTAAAGGAGTTCATCACCACCAAACCAGAATTATATGAATTGCTGAAGGGGGTTCTTTCGGAAGAGAAAGTAAATAAAGATAAAAATTATGAACAACAAATACGTAACTATCAACAAGTGAATCTAAAAACCAAGGAAATTAAAAAAAAAATCTGATGAACAATATTAACTGGTGAATATAATAGAATCAGAGGTATGGAAAGGGAGTGAACTGACGATTCTTGGGGAAAAGAGGAGAGGGGGATGTGGGAAGAGACTGAACATAAACTATGCACCTATGGATGAGGACAAGGCGGGGTGGGGAAAGGGCAGAGAGTGGGATGGGAACCTGGTGGAGGAGAGCAATGGGGGCGTGGGGGGGGGGGGGAGAAAGGAACATTTGTAATAATATGAACAATAAAAATATATTTTAAAAAAACACACACAAATGGATTTAAATCATCTGAGAGATTTAAGTTAAATATAAGAATATCATTCAAATATTAGAGAATATTTAATTTTTTTAAAGGGCTACCATAGAAAATTGTGATTATTTTTTCTTCTTTCATTGTAGTTAAAATACAGAACATACTTCTTCCCAGGGAACTGGAGTAGGTGACATCAGAATGTATACTCCAAAATACTGAACATCTAATTTGGTAAACACACAATACAATATACAGCTAATCCTATCTAATAAAAGAGTAATATGCAAATTGACCATCACTCCAACACATAATATGGCTGCCCCCATGTAGTCAATGATCCTGCCCCCATGTGGACACAAGATGGCCAGCAAGGGAGGGCAGTTGGGAGGGACCAGGCCTGCAAGGGAGGGCAGTTGGGGGCTATCAAGCCTGCAGGGAAGGGCAGTTAGGGGTGACCAGGCTGGCAGAAGAGGGAAGTTGGGGACAAACGGAGCAGTTAGACATCAATCAGGCTGGCATGGGAGTGGTTAGGGGTGATCAGGCTGGCAGGCAGAAGTGGTTAGGGGCAATCAGGAAGGCAGGCAGGCGAGCAGTTGGGAGCCAGCAGTCCTGGATTGTGAGAGGGATGTCCAACTGCTCGTTTAGACCCAATTCCAGTAGGATCGGGCCTAAATGGGCAGTTGAACATCCTCGAGGGATCCCAGATTGGAGAGGGTGCAGGCTGGGCTGAGGGACACCTCCCCACCCCCCATGCACCAATTTCCTGCACCGGGCCTCTAGTGTATTATAGAATTGTACACCTGAAACCCATATAGTTTTATTAACCAATGTCACCCCAATAAATTCAATCTTAAAAAGAGTGCAGAAAAAGACATTTTGTACAACGATGCCCTTGGCTGTCCCTGCCCAGACTTCGTTAGTTAAAGGTAGGCATTTGCGTTGGCACTCTACCTTACCTAGGACTTTTAAGACGACATGGCTCCACACGTAGTGCCCCGAATTCTTCACCTTGCACGTGTACAGGCCCTCATCTCGGGGCTTCAGAGACTCGATCTGCAGGGAAGCATCTCCTGCCAGGAAATTGGACGCAAAGGCCACTCGGCCCTTCTGTTCCTCAGTCAGGTTATCGTAGACGTGATGGCCGGAGTACGTGATCACCTGTGGGACAGATCAAGGCGCGTCAGGCAGGGGCTCCGCCTCCCTCCCCGCTGATGCCAAGGTGAAGATGAGAGCACTCCCAGCGGAACAAGGCAGTCAAGCCTGGGCTGATTCTAAGGACCCAAGAGACCTCTGTTCTAAAGAAGGTTCAAAACCCAGTGTTTGTCTGGGCCTTGTCTTGCCTTTTAAGGAGAGTAACACCTCATATTTGAGCAGCATTTTAATTATGAAGTACTAATGACTAAGTGCTGAGCACCACTCCATTTTATAGGGAAGGAATTTTAAATTTGAGTTATATCCTTACAGCCTCATAAGGAAAGAAGGAAACACACAGTGAGTACACATAATGGCTTTAGAATCTACCCTGAGGAGAATTGCAAGAATAGGAATAAGGAAGGGGAAAAAGACTTTGTTTTAACTTTTTTGCAGACCCCCCTTTATTGATTGATTGATTTTATTTATTTTTAAAAAAATATATTTTTATTGATTATTACAGATAGATAGAAACAATAGTGAAAGAGAAACATCAATCACCTCCTTTCTGCACACCCCCCGACTAGGGATGGAACCCCAAACCTGGGTTCACACCCGCCTTTCCTGTTGTTGTTAATCCTCACCTGAGGCTATTTTCCCCATTGCTTTTCCGAGAGCAGAAGGCGGGGTGGTGTAGAGAGAGAAACATCTGACCCGTGATGGGGCGTGAGCCTGCAGTGCAGGTACATGCCCTTGTCCGGGAAACAAATCTGGGGCCTTTAGTGCATGGGCTGATGCTCTAACAGCTTAGTCTCACTGGCCAGGGCATCGCCCCCACTTTTAAAGTGAACTTAACTCCTTTAAAAAAGAAAAACATTAAAAAAATTTTATTTATGTATTTTGGGAGAGAGAGAAACATCAATGATGAGCCCTAACCAGTTTGGCTCAGTGGATAGAGCTTCGGTCTGCGGACTGAAAGGTCCCAGGTTCGATTCCGGTCAAGGGCATGTACCTTGGTTGTGGGCACATCCCCTGTAGAAGGTGTGCAAGAGGCAGCTGATCTATGTTTCTCTCTCATCGATGTTTCTAACTCTCTATCCCTCTTCCTCTCTGTAAAAGATCAATAAAATATATGAAAAAAAAGAAACATCAATGATGAGAGAGAATCACTGATCAGCTGCCTCCTGCACGCCCCACACTGGGGATGGAGCCCCCAACCCAGGCTTGTGCCCGGACCGGGAGTCGGTCCGGGTTCATAGGTGGATACTCAACCACTGAACAACTGACTGGGCTACATCTGGTTTATTTCTCACCCATTTTCCCCAAGTAACCATTGTCCCCACTTCACAGACAGGTAGCAGAGCCTGATTTGAACACATCTGTCTAAAGCCATCTACACAGTCTGTGGTTCTTTATAATGGAAGCTCTAGTAAACGAATACAGAGTGAAAAATGAGTTTCTGTTTAAGTTGCATTTACAGGACTACATTTCACTTTATTTTTTATTTTTTGCATTTTACTTTAATAATTAAAAATTTAACATCCGCCGAAACCAGCTTGGCTCAGTGGATAGAGCATCGGTCTGTGGACTGAAAGGTTTCAGGTTCGATTCCGGTCAAGGACATGTACCTTGGTTGCAGGCACATCCCCAGTAGGGGGTGTGCAGGAGGCAGCTGGTCGATGATTCTCTCTCATCGATGTTTCTAGTTATCCCTCTCCCTTCCTCTCTGTGAAAAATCAATAAATATATTTAAAAAAATTTAACATCCAAAAATAAAATAAATAAATAAATAAATAAATAAAAATAAAGTCATCTAGCCGGCTGGTTTACTTAGTGGTTAGGGTGTCAGCCTTCAGACTGAAGGGTCGTGGGTTCGGTTCTGATCAAGGACACTACGTTTGTTGCAGGTTCCATCCCTGGCCCTGGTCAGGCCACGTAGGGGAGACAACCAGGCAGTGTGTCTCTCTCATCTCCATGTGTCTCTCTCACATCAATGTTTCTCTCTCTCTGCCTCCCTCCCTGGTTCTATTTTCTTTTAAAAAAAATAAAAAAAAGGAAAACATATCCTCAGGTGACCATTAACAAAAATAAAAATAAATAAAGCCCTCTAGCTCATGGTTCTGGTATTCCTCTCCCCCTCCTTTTCCATATGTATTTGTTTCACTACTCATTAACCACTCTTTCAGAAAGCTTGGAAATGAAGAAGAAAAAGTAAAACAACTACAAAACAATCAATTTGATTTGTTTGAACAAATAAATTTGTTCTTACAAAAGTTTAGAGTCCAGTTGAAGAGGTTGGAGAGGTAAGTTAATGGCTAAAATTCAGGTCTGTATTGAAGGTGGACTGTAACTGAGCCAAAGAATCAGGGAGTAACGAGCGGTGATGGAAGCAGACTGGACTGGGTGGTGAACACACACAATGTATAGAGGATGTGTTGTCAATGGCACACCTAAAACTTACGTGACTTCATTAACCAATGTCACCCCTATAGGGTCAATAAAAATGTAAAACAAAATTCAGTTCCGATTCTGAGGCTGCCTTGCTTGGCTTTCCTTTGTTTTATTCCCCTGGGGTTAGTAAACCAGGCGGGAAATGGTGTCCTTCCTTCCGTACATTCGCAGGAGCTTCACCTGTGTCTGTTTTCCCAGCTGGGGAAACCAGCGTCTAGATGTCCCCAAAAGAAAAAAATCATCTTTATTTTTACGAATCGCCATCCTCATCACCACCTTTGGCTCTCGAACCCTTTCTGGGTTATCTGGGTCCTCCTGCCCCTCAGCACCACGCTGGGCTTCCCCCGGATTCAGGCACCTCACTGGTTCCCCTCCCGCCGAGCACCCCGTTATAGGCTCCTGTCACCCCGTCTCAGGCTGGGTTACCCCATCTCAGGCTGGGTCACCCCATCTCAGGCTGGGTTACCCCATCTCAGGCTGGGTCACCCCGTTTCAGGCTCCTGTCACCCTGTCTCAGGCTGGGTTACCCCATCTCAGGCTGGGTCACCCCATCTCAGGCTGGGTCACCCCGTTTCAGGCTCCTGTCACCCCGTCTCAGGCTGGGTCACCCCGTCTCAGGCTGGATCACCCCGTCTCAGGCTGGGTTACCCCATCTCAGGCTGGGTCACCCCGTTTCAGGCTCCTGTCACCCCGTCTCAGGCCCCTGTCACCCCATCTCAGGCTCCGGTCACCCCGTTTCAGGCTCCTGTCACCCCGTCTCAGGCTGGGTCACCCCGTCTCAGGCCCCTGTCACCCCATCTCAGGCTGGGTCACCCCGTCTCAGGCCCCTGTCACCCCGGCTCAGGTGGGTCACCAGACAGCACGCAGGGTGAGCGTCCCGGCGCCAAGGAGAGCTATCAGAGGGGACCCCCTGTGTCCAGGCCTCCTGAGCGCGCAGGGCCAGGAGCGGAGCCGCGGGAAAGGGGCGGTGGCGGGCGATGGGGGAGAGGACGGCCTGGAGCAGCGGGCCGGGAGGCTCCGAGCTGCGGGGGAGCGGTGGGCGGACTGGGGTTCGGGCCCACAGGCCTGCGGGGGGATCTGCGGAGCTCGCCTGGCCGCAGATGTAGTGTTTAGTTCCCTTCCTCCCCCCTCTCCCCTCCCCCTCTTTCCCCCCCTCCTTCCCAGCTGCCACCTCCCATTCTCCGCGGGCTGGGCTCCGAGGGGCTCAGGGAGGCAGGAGGCGAGGCGGGTCTCCAGGAGCCCAGGCTGGACCGCCCGAGGGGAGGGGCTGCCTTTCTTTGTGTGATGGGCGTGTGTGTGTGTGTGTGTGTGTGTGTGTGTGTGTGTGTGTGTGGTTGGGGTGCGTGTGTGGTTGGGGTATGTGTGTGTGTGGTTGGGGGGGGGTGTGGTTGGGTGTGTGTGTGTGTGTGTGTGGTTGGGGTGTGTGTGTGGGGGGTTTTGTGTGTGTGTGTGTGTGTGTGTGTGTGTTTGGGGTGTGTGAGTGTGTGTGTGTATGTGTATGTGTGGTTGGCTTGTGTGTGTGTGTGTGTGTGTGTGGTTGGGGGTGTGTGACTGTGTGTGTGTGTGGTTGGCGTATGTGTGTGTGTGTGTGTGTGCATGTGTGTCTGCAGCTGTTGTAAATTGTTTCACTTAAGCCCTTGGCCCCATCTCAATCACGTGATGCTCTGTAACTCAGTACCAGGCTTTCCAAAGGCCGGAAGCCATCCAGCAATGACATCAATCCTCTCCACACGTAAGCGCTTCAGTCTCACGGGGTCTGCTCTTCACCCTGAGAAAGAGCTACATTCCCTGCACATTCTGTTTCTCCAGCTAACACTTACTGAGCTCACAGCCCGTGGGGGGAACAAGCAGGAATAAGACACAGCTCCTGCCCTGAGGACCCACAGTCTTTGTGAAGAAAAGAAAGGGAGAGGCAAGTAAGAGGAAATCAATGGAAAGGTATCCTAAAAAAAAAAAAAAGTAAACACTAATGTCATATACTGAAATGCTTCCAGTATAATTTAGCCCCTCATTGAACCAACTCCACTATTGGGATAAATCTCACATCTGTTAGGGTCACCGAGGAGGACCACTCAAGGCCAAAAGGGGTAGAGTTACAAATGTATTAGGTCATCCGGGAGCCCAGATGGGCTGAGCCTCTAGGCGGCACCTGATGGGTGGTGCTGCTCTTATATCAATCAGGGGCAAAGCAGATGTACAGTCCTTAGTTCATCCTAGCTTGATGCCTGTGTTGGTGGCCAGAGCTGTTTCATGCCTGAGGCACATAAAATGATAATTGCTAGGTCTTGGAGGGGAAAAGATCAGAAACACTGGTCTCATAATAAGTAGAATATTATTTAACTGGGGCTTAGAAGGGATGTAGTTTTAAAGTTTATGGATCTGTTATTGCTCTAGTAACTTCTAAATAACAGTAAGTAGGTAGTTCTAGCACAACTCCATTAAGAGTGAACATGTCACATAGTTTTTGTAGCATGGATATATGTTATTTGCACATAAAACCGGGAGCTATGAGAATAATAAGTGGAAAATTAGGGGTCTAGTGTGGTAATGTTGGAATTATTTCAGAGGGCAGTTAC